GGTAGGACATTCTTTTGGATATGGGTTGAGCTCTGCAACACAGCAAGCTTCCCTGTGGCAGGGCCGAGCTTCAGACCGCGACTTCATGCTGGCCGTGGTGCAGTGCAATGGTGAGGTGAAACTGGGTGGGGACTGGCTCCATGATGTTCCTTGCGGTTCCTCGATTTATTTGCTATTTGTTGTTATCGCTAGTGCTCCTAGGTTGGAGGCCATCGCAAGTAGGTTGGAAGCCATCGCTATTAGGTTCCTGCTCTCTAGCAGGCGCTGGAAGAGGCACCACCAGAGCTTCAGCAAGATCGCGAGGCCAAAGCTTGAACGATTCTGGCAGCCGACCGGTGAGGTAAAACCAAACCGTCACAGCTTGGTGCTGATTTCAGCTTGGGAAGACAGAAGCTCAGACTGTCGGCAGGTTGTCCTTGAGGCTTTGCGTAGCTCCAAGGGATGGGCATTGCAGCGCCTCGGCCAGACTCAGACCTCCTCCAACCTTGAAGCAATGACCCTAGTAGCAATGGCCTCCAACCTAATAGCAATTGGCCTCCAACCTAATAGGAGTGGCCTCCAATCTACTGTGATGAGAAAATGAGCACAAGTCTAAGACCGGGAATAACTCTGAGGTTCGCGGCTGACAACCTCAGACGTGATCGAGAGATTGTCCTTACCGCAGTGCGGCGGAGTGGCGTGTGTTTGGAGCTGCCCGGCGGCACACCATTTCCGCATTTCCTGCGCATTCCTGATTCCTATGCCTATCGAGGAGTCGAAATTAATTCGAGCCCAGTTTGGGTGAAGACAACTAAATCGATCTGAATCGGTTGTTTGATATTTACTGTAGTGTTTCCAAAGGTTAGACTCCTACTATCCTACATGGAATTTTCTTCATGGCCAAGCTGTTAGCTGCTAGACTACTAGAGGCTAACTTTTGCATACTTTTGGTTGCCTCGGCGTCTCGCACAAACCAGGTTTGCCGCGAAGGACATGCGCGCGGATCGGGAGGTTGTGCTTGCTGCTGTGTGCTTCCCTGAGCCTCAGTTATGTTGCTTTAAGTGACCTCGAGGGAGTTGCTCAAGGCTTAGCGGCCTTAGGCTACTTGACATTTGGGCACCATGTGACAAGACTCGTTTAAGCCGGGCCCATCCATTGGCACTGAAGGCAAGTTCATGGTGAAGCCCTAGAATTCGCATCGCAAGAGCTCAGGCTGGATCTGTTGCGTTGCAAGATAGCCAGTTGATCATAAGAATCTCTGGTGCCAAGACTGGCACCTGCAAGCTGGAGAGCCAGAGGGCATCGATTTGATCAATTGTACTGATGTACTGTGCTTGTCAGTGCTTGGGTTTGCATGGCCTTGTGACAGTGACATTGTGGGAAAATCACATCTCGATCGATCTAGCAATTGCCAGGCAAGATCCAGTGCAGAGCTCAGTTTGTTTGTGCATGATAAAGCCCATGCAGGCCTTCCTTTTTGCCAGGAAGTGGTGGGAGCTGCCATTGAGACCAGAATCTTGACTGCAACATCCAGTTGAGAAGGATTGAAGGGAACAAGTGTTCAGATCGACTTGAGACCCTGTTCAGCCAAGGCCGGGGTTGGGCATTACAGTACGCATCGGAGGAACGACCACATGGCATGTAGCCTGTTCAAGTAGGCAGCAAGTTTTCAAGGCTTCCTCCTAGTTTGACCGTGTCCTTGTATCGGTGAGTTTCAGAGTCGGAATGTATGGGCTGTTTTGAGAGAATTTTTGGGGCTTTGCGGGCTTTGAATGGCTAGGAGATGCGCAGCAATCGTGAGATGGTTCTTGGAGCCTTGCGGGGCAATGGTCTGATGCTGGAGCATGCCTCCGCAGATTTGCGAGGTGCTGACCTGATTCTTCCTTGTGTTTTCTTATGTTTTCTTTCTTTTTGTTTCTCTCCTATCTCTCTCGCTCTCTCTTCAAACCGGGTAGCGCAATGAGTGAGAAGGTATGCATTTTTGGGATGAACGATGTCCTCAAGCAACTTGATACACTTCTTGGACCTGGCAGAGGTGATCGTGAGCTTGCCCTAGCAGCAGTGATGTCAAACCCTTCTGCTCTTCAGATCCTTGGTTGCATTAAACCAAGATTTGACCCATTCAGCTTGAGGGGCGCCCCTGCATTTCTGGCTGACACCAGTTGACACGGGTGAGTCGAGGTTTGCCAGTGAGAGGTTGCAAGGCACCAAAGAGGTGGTCCTGGCTGCAGTGGCCAAGGAGTCTTTTGGTTCCATGATGTTCAATCAATGAAACGGATGGTCGGCACATGGCGTGTGGCTACCAAGAATTCTCTTCACAACCAAGTGTATATTGTACATACAGATATGCATAAGGTATATATATATATAGGGGTGGGGGATCAACATCAAGCTTGGTGGCTGAGGTGCGGCGAACTCAACTGAAGTAGTGTTGCAGAAGTGATTTCATGCCCTAAGGGCTTGCATACCAAGTGGATCCAAGTGGTGTTTTGAAGGTGCATTTTTTTTTTTGGAAGACCAAGCCTTGAGCGCAGTCAAACTCGTGTCCGACACCTATTCGAATCATGTCATATCCTAGTGGTCTGATTTATATATCTGATTTATCGAGCTTTACCGTCATCTGTAATTGTTTGCATCGCATGGTGCGATTGCAGGATGGCTATGCGCTTCGGTATGCTTCAAGTTTGATGAAGGCCCCACATTTGGGACCAAACAGAAGCTTCTGATAGCAGTCAGTTGTCACCGCACAGGAAGTAACAGTGTTTCGCAAGTCTGTCGATTCTTTCTTGACCCGTCCTTCCCTTGCCTTGCCCGTCCTTTTTGGCTTGCCTTCCCCTTCCATCCCTTCCCTCTCTCCCCTTTTGGCATCAGGAGATTCTGCTCTAGGACAGCTCATTGGTTTGTTCACCTCTTCATCCGCGTGCTGCGTTCATTCCTGTCCTCGACCTTTTTCACTGCCTTTGTGAGTCACAAGAGTGGCGCAGGATTGACACCAGTTATAGTGACAACCTGCTGCTCATGCAAAAGGCAACTGAAAGTGAGCCTGTCGCAGGCCGACCGTGACGTAGTAGCAGATCCTTGGCTGCAAGATGTCGGAGAATATGTTTTTCATGCTGCCGGATTGAGTAAAGATTCATGTGACTCGTGTGAGAGAAAATCATGACTCAATCCATTGGCTTTGCGTTAGCTGATGAATGTTGATGTCCCCAACGCCAGTGGCACATCTAATCAGGCTGCCGTCGCGCAGGCTGGAGAGAGACTCGGCTGGAGAGAAGCCTGATGCATAGACCTGCCATGGGCTGACAGGTGATTGCTCAGCAAATGCTCGACTGCAATTCAATTAGTTCTCACCAGTCTGGCTTGGTCTGGATGATTGAAGATACTCCTAGGACATCAGTGGAAGATATACTGTAATGTGCAACTCCTTCTATATAATGTTGTACATGCTGTAGGCTGTATATAGCAGTTTTGCCTCAGTGACACGCACGCATACACACACAACCTCGGGTGGCATTGTTTAAACAATCCACTGCATTGAATACCTGTCATAAAGGCCTTTATATAATTGATCGATCATCGCGGACTTTTGGGGCAGGCCAAGGCTGTGTGCCATGGGGAGTGGGCGTAGTTGCGCACAGTTTGTAGGCTGACATGAGAGCTCAGGTGTATTTGGGTGGCTGACGAGTGCTTGCAAGACGATCCTGAGATTGCAAAGCTCGTTTCTGGACGCATTGTGGACGTGCTGGTGTGAAGTAGGCAGCTGTTTCAACAATGTAGAGAGAAGTGCATTGATTCACAATCTAAAGAGACAACATGTTGTTTTGCAGCCTTTAGATTGCTTATGATGGCCAGTCCGTTCGCGTGCCTCAATCTCGACGCAGCTGAGGTGAAACAGCATCCAAGCTGGAATGGTTTTGGATTGATTTAGTGGTATGTATTGTCAATATTTCTGACCGTGTAGCAGGCAGCGAGACAACCAGAAAATATAACAGATTGCCAAGGCATGAGGAAGGAGATACAAGATCATTGCCCTCATCAGGCCCAGATATGACATGAGCAGCTTCACTGAGCAGGACCATGAGGATTTGTCAAAAGGAACATACCAGGACCTATAAAGCAGAAGTCATTCCGGCATGCTGAACGGATCCTCGCTGGCAGGTTTTGCTGAAGTCTCCTGGGCTGAAACTGGCCTTGAGAAGACCCACTTGTAATCCCGGCTGTCTCACCACGATGACAAGACCCGCACAAGACCCCACACATCGGGGGAGTCGACGAATCCTTGCGCATTTGGCAAGGAAATTTGTGGTATCATAGAACCACAGCATTGGAATCCTCACAAAGATTGAGGGCTTGGAGTGGTTTGCCGCCGCGTGCAGTGGTCATTCAGATCAAAGTTGTCGCAGCTTTGGAGTGGAAGAATTCCATGGACTCCCAGTGCGGTTGATATGCGCTTGATCTCAACACCCATCAGGATGTGTCTTTGTCCAAAGGTGCTGGTGAACCTCTTGCAGTATTTCCACGAACACGCACAACCAACTAGCAGCAGGCGTGTTTGAGCTAGCATTTACCACAGCCTTCCGATTAATGTGAATTTGCAGAGCATCTCGTGCCTATGTTTGAAACATCAGCAATTCTCGAAGAGCACCCTTCTGAAGCATTCCCAGACCATTTGGTTTTATGTGTGGAAGGAGCAGTCAGTGTTCAAGTGTTCAAATCAGTTTATCCATTTCATGTGGTAAGCATCGTGCAGGTTGCCTTCTTTGCAGCATTGTCCAGCTTCCTGGCGTGCTTGTCTAAGTCTATTGTTTTGCTCGGCCAGAGGCTGAACGGAAGTATGATAGGGATGGGGGTACTTGTTAGTCTACCGGGTAGCTGCAAGTATCAAGTTTGGGTCGGCAGGGTCTTTTTTCAGAAGTTGCTCACTCCAATACTTGGGAAGCATCGTTGGTCTCTCGCTGCCTCCGTCGTCAATGTTTCGGCTCACGAGATACGAATAAAACACCTTTTGGCTATTCCGTCAGATGACTGATGGACAAGCACAGCCGGCTGATGATGGCACCGGGGAGGAGCTTCAAGAAAAGGATCTGAATGTGAGCATCCCACCGCCTCCAGAAGCACAACATGACCGACCAGCTCGGAAAAGAGCAAACAAGACGAAGACCTCTTTCATACAGGAGGGGTTGTCACCGCAGCCTAGTGACCTTGTGTGACTTAGTGTTGCCCCTCTTCGCATCTGAAGCAGATCAAGTTGACGTGTGTCGCCTTGGCGTAGAACATTAGGCGCACGTAGGCATGTTTTGGAATCTCTTCGCGCCGGATTCATTTTTGTTTTGCATATCCTAAAGATGCTCACAGTGTATACGACTGTAGCGAAGATATGCCCCCTGTGGGCTTACAACTTCTACCACGATTAGGATTGTCTTGAAGCCAGTGAGGGTCGGTTCAGTGGGGAGCAACATATACGGGAGTTGATCACGGGGCGTGTAAGGGCAGTATGCAAAACGACCTAATTTTAGATGCTGTCCAAACCATCTGCAAAAGATTTGCCATGAGGTTCGCTAAGGTATTTATATATTTAAAATATTTCTTTCTTCGTATCATGTCCTTTCTACCCGACACATGTTATGTGATAGAAATAAATATATGACAATCCTTTGGCAGTGCCAATGGGCAAAAGTGTCCCCACATGTACAGGATTGTCCTTCCCCAAGTGGACTCGCAAACTGCAAGTGCATCACACTTAGTTCAGCCCTGACAGTGGGGCGACGATCCGCAGCTCTGACAGGTTGTGTAGATGTTTGCGCATAGTATGCATTTTCAGGGAAAGCATCAGCAAATTTACGCGAAAGACCCGCGAAAGTTCCGTCAAAAGTTCCAGTTCCAAAGTTGAGCCCCGCATTTCCCCGAGCTGCAGTACCCTGTGTTGTTAGCTGGATTGAGTTGTGCGTTGTCACTCTATTCTGAACCTCCTCCTGGATATTAACGTTTGTCGCACACATGCTGAAGCGTTCAACCCTTGTGTGTAGGTTATGCTGCAAAAGGCTAGTCACTATTAATTAACATTAATTAATTAACTATTATTGTTTTCATATAGCTAAATTAAGTATGTTCAAACATATAGTTTGGCCACCACGAAAGAATATTGATCAACCACCATTTAGTTGAGCGAGAAACCCATATTGAATTGTTGAACAAAGATGTGTAATGACCCCAGGGATGCGTCTTGCCTCACATAGGCCTCTTGTAGGCTTTTGGTACACATGCTCAGGCGGACACCCAACTTCTAGCACGGTAGCGCGTGCCCGTTTCCAACTGTGTAAGCCAACAACCTTCTGTTTGCTTGATGGTCTTGTTTGACGACGACCGGAGCAGCATCAACAGGAGCAGGCCATAGGACGAGGAGTCATAGTAACAGGTTCTGCCGCATACACATGCATAGGCAGTAGGCATGCTTCAAGCATCAATGGGGTGGGCATGCGTAGGCTCTGACATAGGCGCCCAGACATGATAACACTCCACACAATTACCAAGAAAAAACATGTTTGTCACCGCTTGTGCTACTTGGGGCTTGCCCATCACATAGTCGACGAACACACCAGGAGTCTGATGATTGCACCGCTGGGGAAGAGCTTCAGCAAGCGGATGTTAATGTGAGCCTCCCTCTGCCTCCAGATGCAGACCATGACCGACCAGCCCGGAAAAGACCAGACAAGACGAAGACCTCTTTCATGCAGGACGATTTGTGAGCCTTAGGGTCTTAGGGTTGTCAGTTTTTGCATCCAAAACAGTTGACTTACATCTCTACCTGCTTCTCGCATCATACCCATTACCGCGTGCAGGACTTTTGCGCCTGCTGCACCCATACTGAGCAGGTTGATGATCTGAATCCTACAGTTATTGGCGAATGTTTGGAGCATTTGGCCATCAAAACAAGGTTCAGCATTCGCAACATTTGCTGTGACTCGGAAGTACGTTTGATTGAGCGGATTGTCACTCCACTTCCTGGAGTTGAGAGTGTGTCCATCAACACCTTCCAGAAGATTTGCATCGCAGTCCACTGCCCAAGCTGTACCACACCAGACTCTATCGTTGAAAAGCTTAACCGCTCGGGTTTGGGTGCTGCCTTGCTCGGCCAAGGAAACATGGAGATCAACCCTGAGGCTCCAAGCCTAAGAGATATGTTCCATCGCCACAGCCGCCAGGTACTGGTCGTGGTGTCAGCTCTGCTATTGACCATGGGGCTCGTTGGGTCGGGCGAGGTTTTGCTTCTTCTGGCACTGGTGGTGGGCTTGCTTGCGATCTTGCGCGAGTCGCTGGTCACTCTGAGGATGCTGGTCTGGAGATGTTTCAAAAATTTTTTCAACACCTTAGCCTAGTTTGATGCCTTTTGGACCATTCTTGAAGATCATGGAATGAGTCCCAAGGATCCAACATTCAAAAGGATCCAACTCAAAAGCCGATGAGTAACCAAGCATAAGCACAGCAGAAGCCGTCCTTGCAACCTCAATCAACCAAACCGGTTCCTTTCGAGTCCGTCAACTAAGGAAGGGGCAGATTGACATCAGCACCTTGGTGGTTTTGGCTTCCCTCGCTGCCGCCATGCAAGGTGAAAGAGCAGATTCTGCTTTGGTAGTCTTGCTCTTCAACATCTCAAAGGTGGACACGAAGACAAAAAGCACTCGGAGTGTCTACTGTTTTAAGATGTTTTAAAGGGATGTTGGACATATTGACATTGACATGCCAACACTCTTTGCTGCGCCTTTGGAGCGCCACTAATGATGCACGGACCTGGTGCACGCTGTAGCTCTGCTAGTCGCCCGAACGATTTCGAGTCGATTCAACGCGGAACCGTCGCGGAACCGAAGGTGGTGGAATCAGTGGCGCTGAATCGAGTCTCCAGTGCACTGCGGGCCGTGTTGCAATTGCAGGCAGTCCACACAGTGCATTTGGTGGAAGGCAAAGCTGTGCCAGTCTCGGAGCTGAAGCTTAGACAAGAAAACAATAGAAAACATCAAACAGGATTTCTCTTAGTCTTGAAACTTTGGTGCACCGCTTGTCTTTAACATAAAGGGGCTTGGGCACTTGTGACATGTTGTGAACTCATTCAGCTTGACATGTTGTCAGAGTATTTGAGGAAACCAGGAGATGAGATTGCCCTGCGGCCTGGGGAGGAATGCCCTGCAGACGGCTTGGTGTCAAAAGGTTCGGCTTCTTGCTCAGAGGCTGCTCTATCCGGAGAGTCCAGACCAGTTCACAAGCAGAAGGGCGACCTGATCTCCTCTGGCGCAGTGATTCTCAATGGATATTTGGAAGTCACCTTGACGACAGCTAGTTCCCAAAGTGCCCTATCACTAATTGAAGCACAGGTTGAGGAGGCTCAGATGAAAAGGACAGACAAACACCTGATGATCCAGCGCTTTGCGCGTTTGTGGACTCCCAGTATCATCTTTGCAGTGCTGGTGATTTGCATCTTGATTCCTCTCTTGACCAATGGTGATTTCCAAACCTGGAGCCATCGTGGCCTTGTGGTGCTGCTCACCGCATGCCCATGTGCGATTGTCATCGGAGCACCTTTGGCCACCACCTGTGCAATTGCTGCTGCAGCCTCTCACGGACTCCTCATCAAACGGCCTGAGACAGTGGAGAAGTTGCCGCACATTGCAGCCGTGGGACTGGACAAGACTGGAACCCTAACAAAAGGTGAGCTGAGTGTACTTGCAGCAGAGAAGCTCGGTGATCCAAACTTAGAAGAAGAAGTGGTGCTGAAATGGGCTGCAGCTCTGGAGCTGCGATCTTCTCACCCTATTGCTGCTGCAATTGTGTCAAAAGCTCTTGGCTGCGTTGGGGAAGCCTTGGAATATACTGACCTTCCAGAAGTAACAAATTTCCGTGTCTTGCCAGGAGTTGGGATACAAGGTTTTGTCCCCAGCAAAACTGGCTCGTCGAAGGTGATTCTTGGGAACAAGCGAGCCCTGGATGTGGCCAATGCTGACCCATCAGACCATTCTCGCTTCATCGCTTTCCAAGAGAAATATCATCATCACACAGCAGTTGCCATCATGATTGATGGCAAACTTCAGTTTGGCCTAGCTTTGAATGATACCATCAGGCAGGAAGCAGCCAAGATGGTTGAGGATTTCAAAACCATCGGCTTCAAACCCGCAATGTTAACAGGAGACACTGCAGAAGCTGGTGCTTTTGTCGCACAGTCGTTGGGGCTAGATGATGAACTATGTCGGTTTGCTATGACACCGGACCAGAAGCACGAGTGGGTTGCTTCAAGCGTGCCTTGATCATCCTTGACCACGGAAATTAATAGCTGTTTTTTGCACATCAATCCTGTTCCAGCGATTGCTTCCTCAAAGAGTCTTGCGGCATGTTTTCATGATTGGACTCAAATCGCTTGCCAAGGAGTCGGAGGGGCGCCATGTCTTGATCCTGGGTGATGGCATAAACGATGCCACTGCCCTGGCAGCGGCCCATGTGGGCGTCGCCATCGGTGAAACTGGGGCGGCCTTAGCGGCACAGCCTGGGACCTAGTGGATGGCATTTTCAATAGGATGAACTGAACGGGGAGTCTTAGGAAAATGTCAGGACATTGGTTGACCATTGAGACAGGTCGTTATTTGCATTGAGACAAGTTATTTTTGCATGTTTTTGCCGTGTTTACTCACGTAGTTGCTCACGTTTGCTTGTGTTTGGTTTAAGGATGGTTTGAGTACATTTTTGCTTCATGTGAGTCTCGAGGGTCCGTGCTGTAAAAGAGTGAGAGGTCTGCAGACATTGTGATGATGACCGACAAGTTATACCGACTTCCACAATGCGTGTTGCTTTGTCGCTATGCCCTTCGCATTGAGAGACTGAATATTGCAATTCCATGCATAGTGAAGCTTCTCCAAGCCGGCATTGTCGCTTAACTCCAATCCATGGAACATCATTTCCTGATATTTTTCCCCAATAGCCATGCTATGGGGTCTTGCAAAACTAATAGGCGGACGGGCGCCGTCGGGTCACCGTCAGAGCTGGTGGGCGGATGGTGTCCCGGTCATGTTTTGATGGCGTCCGGGTCATGTGATGCTGGTGTCCTGGTCATGTTTTGATGGTGTCCCGATCATGTTTTGATTGTGACCAAGTCATGTTGTGATGGTGTCCCGGTCCTGTTTTGATGGTGTGCCGGTCATGTTTTGATGGTGTCCCGGTCATGTGATCATGTGATGGTGGCGCGGTCATGTTGTGATGGTGTCCCGGTCATGTTTTGATGGTGTCCCGATCATGTGATGGTGGCGCGGTCATGTGATGGTGTCCCGGTCATGTTTTGATTGTGTCCCAGTCATGTTGTGATGGTGTCCCGGTCATGTTGTGATGGTGTCCCGGTCATGTTTTGATGGTGTCCCGGTCATGTTGTGATGGTGTCCCGGTCATGTTGTGATGGTGTCCCGGTCATGTTTTGATGGTGTCCGGGTCATTTGACGGTGTCCCGGTCATGTTGTGATAGTGTCCCGATCATGTGATGGTGGCGCGGTCATGTTGTGATGGTGTCCCGGTCATGTTTTGATGGTGTCCCGG